AAGAACAACTACGCGTCCTAAATTGCTGAAATTTTGGTGCATGACTGTCAAAAGATGCACAACTACATTCACTAGCTTTAATTGACGAGTGTTGCCATCTTTACGTTGAGGTCGGAAACTTTTCAGACCACCCTAGTATGCTGGCTCCATAAGAGAATGACACCTGTTTCATTCGGTGGACGTCATAAAAGGTGACTTAGAGTAGGGTTCAGAAGAAAGCCCACGGCTAAACATATACCTCCCCCATAGATTGACTCATAGGGGATATATAAATAAATATTTGCCATAGCTGCCAGGGTTGGCAACCATAGTATATTATTCCTTTTACGTCATCCTTGGGTTGAAATAGGATAGTGGATTATCTCCCGCGGTTACAACGGTATAATTTTTTGGTATTTAAACCATACAATTGACGGCTCCATACAGGAAATGCCGCAGTGGCTTAGCATTGAGTTGCAGTGCTGGAGGCCGCTGGTTCCAATCCCACACGGAAAAAGCATTTGTATGGTCTACAAATAATTGTACTAAGACTTGTGCGATTTATTTATGTAAACTGCCTCCCCGATACAGGAGAAAATCCTAGAGTTTAACGTTTCAAAAAAAACCCAGTCAGGCGATTTAATCAATTTCCACTTGTTAAATCAACTAAACAGCCCCCAGCCTTCCTTTCTTTTTCACTAAATGACCCAGTAAGACGTGCAGGAAGTCTCTTAATGCAGGTGGCCAAGATCGTGTTTTGTGGTATTCCTTGAGGGGTGTACATTCAGCAGTGGACATGTGAAGGGCTGTAATGATAATGATAAAAGCAACTACGGCACGAATGAACCTGCTTGACCAGGGAATATATGAGCGTACATTAAGCATTATGCTAATGTATTTCGTATGGTTTTTTTACTTGTAAAGACAACGTACCATCTTATTCAGGGGTGACAGGACATTTGTATTTTGATTCTTAATCGAGGATGGATGAAGATGTCTACAGATCACGTCGTTTATTTTCCAATAAGTGGATTGTGTGCTTATCTAGGTCACAGAATCTGCAAATATTACGAAGCCATCAATTAGTATTTTCCTTGAAATATAAATGACGTAAGTAATTGATGACAATAGCACGTCTCTCTTGAAAAATTATCATTCTTATATCTTTATAAAATGTTTTTTATGTTTTCTAATTGGGGATTTTTAAAAAATATTAAGGCTTATTACAATATGAAAGTATAATGTTACCTGCTTTTTTTTCTGTTTTTTTTATACGTGGTAGTCATGCTGCAGCTATATTCATACCGTGAGCCGTGGTAGCTCAGGGACTAAGCGCTCGCTGTAAATTTCACAGTACGCGAGCAACCCCAGCTCGATCCCCAACGGCACCAATAAAATTGTTGATTGCAATTTTAAGTGCTGATTTACCACGTGCTCGGCGGAAAGGAAAACATAGTGAGGAACCTGCATCTCTGAGAAATAAGAAAAAAAATATTTTGAAGACATGTGAAGTTCGCCAACACGCATTGGGGCAGCGCGGCGGACATTTCCTTGCCCTACCCTCTCAGAAATGTGAGGAGGCCAGCATTGGGGCGTATATATTTACCTTCAATTTTATTATTATTACATTCATACATATACATAGATACATAAAGGTCGAGATACTAATAATAAAAGCCTAGAGGTAGGGTTCCGTAGTTGCCCTTCACAGTACGTGGGCTTCCTCGATATTGAGCATAATAAGTGAGTTCACGGTTTGACCGCTATAACGACTAAAAATGAGCCCAAATAGGTAGATCGTAACTGAAGGATTTATTTTCAAATTAGCCTTGTAAGGGAGTAGTATTCAAAAAAGGTTAGAAAAACTTTTCAATTTTGATACTAATACCCTATCTATCCCGCAAATCTCCGTAGTAATTCATATAGTCGTTTTCTTCATAAAATTATTTTTAACAGTTTACAAAAAAAAAAATTATTAATGCTAGCCGCATTAATAACTTTGTAATATTTTAGGTCATTCTCTATGGAGTTGTTACAACATTTTTACTAACCCCAGTGCATTTTATAAGTGTGTCGACTGTTACTCGTTAACTTTTTAATTCTATTGGTTGTGATAGTTTTTCTTTTAACTTCATTATATATACTACTCTTGGGTATACTTTTCACATTTACCAAAAACAGCGGTTTAGTTGGTAGAGGGGGGGGGGGGCACATGACTCGAATGAAAAATACAACTTTAAAGCTAAATATTTCTTATTTTGAAAGACCTATCCAAAAAAAATCATTCCCCATTTACTTTTTTTTTTACATTTACATTCCACATTTACTGATTTAATTTCACGGTTTTCTAGGCAGGATCATAACCATGCTAAATTACACATTTGTAGCACCTTGTGTCTTTGAGCAAAACCGCGGACGGTCGGACGGATGGACAGATGGACATGTCGAAACTATAAGGGTTCCTTGTTGTGTAACTACGGAACCCTAACAAGCGTGTGATAACAACCTTGAAAATTATAACGTACTACGAATAGTTTTCAATTCACGTTCACTTAAAACTTCCGCATAATATGTTTAAATTTTTTTCGTACATAACCCCTCCCAATATTCATTTTTAACGTCCTTTTCCTAAAGTTTATGTTGGAATTCGCACTGCATGTTATCTAATGCAAATTAGGAGGAAACGGTAGCGTGTAGTGGCGATGTAAGAATATCCACTATCCGATATCATCCCGTGGGTGTCGTAAGAGGCGAAAGAGCGAAACAAATCAGGAGACGGGCTGCAGCGTCTCCCTAATAACGACTAAAAATAGAAAACTGCGAAAAATGCAAATTTCCTCCCTATGAGACAATCTATGGGGAAGGCCTATATACTATATAGTATATAAGGCCGTTCAGCAGTGGACTTTATTAGGCAATAACGATAACGGTACGGTGGATTAAACCTCTTTTACGTGGTAGAGCCATGCTGCAGCTATATTATGGTTTTAGCACAAATGGGTTGACTCGAATTCAAATGAAGGACCACGTTCTCACAGAGTACCAGCGCAAAATAGAGGCTTAATGCTGTTATGTTTCGTATGGTGAGTGTAGAGAACTTTACACGCTTTTTGGTGGATACGAACATTCTACTATGGGGTGACAACGCATATGCATTTTGATTTTAATCGAGGATAAATGTAGCTGTCTATGGGCCACAGCATCCACTTACCATCAGATGCACTGTGTGCTCGTTTGTCAATGTATCTTATTTTAATTTTTTCTACATAATGCTTATATCAATCCAATACTAAACATGGGGTGGCTACGATATAGATAAATTTAAATAAAATTCCTCAATTTATTTATTTACCATTTTTTTAAGTACAGTATCCTTAAGACGAAAATGGGTTTCACTAGTTCATAGGTTCTGTAATACACGTAATACATACAATGTTTAAATAGCTTCTAAGCACGAAGACCTTAACATACATGCGTACCAACTAACATTCGAATAAATGTCATATGTCACATAATCTATGACTTCCTCACCTTTTTCTTAGTTATTTGTAGCTTACACATAATACACACACGTATAACATAACATTCCGAAGGCAGAATGTTAAAATAGAAAATAAATAAAAGAAGAAAGCCATTTATTCACTAAAACTATACACATTACATAAATAAAAAGACAGTTAAAATTATGGCAGAATAACACTACAACCGATGGGGTATGTATCGAACTAGTGAAAAAGGTTATGACCCAACGTAAAAATGGCTTCTATGCATGCACAAGGATCTTAGCATACTTGCATTACTACTAAAAGACGAATAAAAGCCATGTCATCATGTTCCCGAGCTTACACTATGTTATTTGAGGTTGGCCTTACTCTTCCATTTTCCGCTATCATCCTTCATATCAATTACTTGTTTGTTTCTAACGCATATTATCCCTCACACACTCTAAACATTTTTAAAGCATCTATCTACTTTCATATTTCATAAAATCATACAAAAATGGCACCCCAAAAAGATCCTGTTGTAAACTCATACTCTCACAGAACGCAATCAGATAGCTACATAAACTTCTTTAAGTAAATAAATTTACAAATTTTTATGTATGTATTTGAAAACTAGAGGTTTAGAAGCAATGACTATATTCCTCTATGTTTAGGAGAAACCGAGATTGACCTCTCATCTCATGCTCCAAGTGGAATAATTATTTGGCTTAGCGGTATTTTATAAAGCTGTGAAGAAACATTTATACATTGCATTATCAATTTCCTAATAGTTAAAATGTGGCGGAGTGGGTCGTGTATCTTTTCTGACAGTTGCATTACGACGGCAGTAATGTTGATGACGTCTCGTAGAAGTTACGCATGCGTCGAATCTGTTGCGTCCGCGTACCGCTAGCACCGCTAGCCACTTTCGGTCTTGGACTGACTATTTATTCGGGTGACCTTGTAAAACGTTGCTAATAGACCTCTTATCATTAGTAAACAAGTAACCTTGTTAATTTGTACTTTTAAATTTTGTTTGTAGTTAAGTTACGAAAATCTCTAGTTTTGCTCTGTTTTCGACGGAGGAATCATGTGTAACTCTTTATATTAAAATTAAGTACTAAGCTACTTATAATTAAAAGTTGGTTCTACAAAATCTTGAATGTTTTTGAATGCAACGGGCAATTTTGAACGAAGTAATTAAGGTGATAATATCCGCTTATTGTTTGAAAATCTAATTAATGTTCTGGAAAACTTAAACGCACGCAATTAATGCTCATAGATAATAATGAACCAGTACCAAATTATATGATTGTTTATGAATCACTTATGATTATTATGTTCGTTACGAAACGAAACCCCAACTAGGTTGGAGCTGTTGGGTATGGTCAGTTTTAATTGGGCGATCAGCTAAGGTCGTTGTGTTGGAGTCGTTACGAAGAAAAATACGAATATGGATCTGTAAATGTGTTGCAACAGCCATTTAGCACTCGCTGATACTTTGCAAACTTATAAAAAAAAATCAGTTGACCAAAAACAATGGAGCTATCGAAAGTGTTCTACGTCTGTACATTGCTTTCTTTCCTCGTGTTACAATGTGTTCTGGAAGGTTCAAGTGAACAGAATGCATTTGAATTACCAGTGCAGTTAGTGGGCTTTCCATTCATTATAATGGCTGTGAAGGTGACAAATTTCATCAAGAAACTTTCATATGCATTGAGTCCAGGTAAATATTTTTAAAATTATTTAATAACAGGAATCCTCACATAATTTACTGTCTACATGACGTGACCTTGAATCGCAAAGGATAATATCTTAACTTGTCTATAATAGTATCTGTTTAAATATATGCATAAATCTATAAAAATGAGATATATTAAAAAGTAAAGTAACAGCCTGCAAATGTCTCAAAGTTAGGCACAGATCTATGTCGTGTCGTGGCCTAAGTCGTGCTGCCCCAATGCAGGTTGGCGGGCTGCAGATAATCTCGGAGTTTTATTTCTCAGACATGAATTACTTTACCGCCGAGCAGGAGGTAAACTAGCACTTAAAATTACAATAAACAATTTCGATTGTGACGGGAATCAAACTCTGTTCGTCCGCGTAGTATGACATTTTAAGGCCTGAGCTATCATGGCGCTAGAAATGAGAAATATGTAATAATACATAAGTAAATTTTATTATTTGCCTTCTCCCTATTTCTCTCTCTCTGTCTCTCTGTCTCTCTCTCTCTCTCTCTCTCTCTCGTGTAAGATAGAAAGTTGATACGACTAGGATTCAAATCCAGTACGTTCGCCGCACTAGCCTTTAACCGTTATGTAATGCGGAACGTGTTATGAGTATACTATGTAATATATACTGCGATTATTTAAACTGATCAATTCTTGTATAGGTTGTAATTGTTTCTCGGAAACGACTCTAAAGATTTGGATGAAATTTTGTATTTAGGTAATATTTTACTTTCAATGTTTATCTAAATAGGTTTCGTCTTTGAGATAATTTTCTTTTTACGCCGAGCGAAGTTCTATCACCGAGATAATTACAATTATATTACCGATACTTGTGTAACTTAAAAATTGTTCTATTTTAGTCCCGTATTTGCAATCGTTCGTTATGTATCTTAATGATAATATAATAGTAATAATATCATCATCATAATAGCTCATCAAAAGTCAGTACAGAACATACGCCTCCCGTAAGGAATGCGACCAATTTAATAAATTAAGCTTTATATTGGGATTTTATTTATTTCTTATTATTTTTTTCTTTGGGTCAGCGTTCGTGTTTGTTGTTATTTATTAGATTGAATTAAGAATTGAAAATGTGTTACAGAATAATAAAATAAACCGGCTGTGATGTAGGAATTCAAAGTAAATATGAAAAATTGTAAAGACCGAGACAGCTTAGGGACTAAGCAAAGTAAAGTTGCAGCCTATTTACGTCCCACTGCTGGGCACAGGCCTCCTCTCGTTTCTAAGAGGGTTTAAGGACTAGGGTAGTGAGGTAGTAGTTAGTAGGGTAGGGAGGTAGGGACTAAGCGGTCGCTGTAAATTAACCAGTACGCAAGCAACCCGGGTCCGATCCCCGCACTAATGAAATTGCTTAATTTGAAGTGTTTCACTTTCTAATGCCATACTTAACCCGGATCTACAACTTTTCCTATTAAAATTAGTCCGATCTTTGTAGAATAAGCCAACGATATTTTGAGTAGCATGCTTGGGTTTGAATTGGTGCTGATAATAACAGCGAGAATGATAAAAACAGGAGAGCCTATTCCAACGAACAATTTCCTTCCATAAAAGATGATGATGTAAGTTAATGCCTAAGAATCAATAGCATTTTGCTAGCACGTTGTTCTCGTTCAGCTTCGCTGTTGAAAGATGCTGTGACCAATAGAAACCTAACTGTCAACCTTGAGAATTATGAAGGAATGCCTTGTTACCAACATAATGGTCTCCGGTTTTCGTAATTTTTATTTTAAGCTGTTTTTTTTACGAAAGTGCGGTTTTCCATGGTCAAGGCGACTAAATTAATTAATTAAAGGACAGCGCGATGAAGGCAAAAATATAGCAATAAATATAGCAGTAAAAGTATAGATAAACATGTGACTGAGAAATAATAAATAATGTCCCCCAGACCGAGTATCGATCACGTTCGCCAGTCCAAAATAGCAACGTAATACTGCTGTGTTTCGTATGGTGAGTGTAGAGAACCGCGGAGACCCTTTTAACTGGATTGCATGCATTCCATCTTAGTCCTCACGGGTGACAACGCATCTGCATTTTGATTTGTAATAAAGGATAGATGTAGATGTCTATGAGCCGCAGCAAATACTTACCATCGGCTAGACTGTGTGCTCGTTTGTCACCCTTACCCTATAAAAAAAGTCTCAACGGTGACTAGTCATCTGTGCACTACAGGAATATAGTGCCTGAGTGCATACGCAAGCATAAGTGTACTCTCTATTTCCTCACTCTCATAGTCCGATGGGACGATAATTCGACACAACCGAAATGATACGAGGTGAAGAACCAACGGCTTTACGTGCTTTCCAAGGTATGAGGGTGAAAAGGCGCCAACTTCCCGAGTGTTCTCAGAAAATAACTGAATTTTATTGGCCCGACCTGGAATTCTAACTTGAGACCTATTGGTCAGCAGTACGGTAGCAGTGTATACGACAACAAGACCAACGAGGCATTCAAACTGCGGTTGACCTGAGAAATAAACATCATCGATATGTAAGCCTGCTGTCTGAGGGGGCTCTTTTCGTTTCTCTATTATAGGCACGCGGCACGTGCACTGCGATCGAAAGGTTAATGTGACGTTGAGATGTGATATTTCTTGTGGGTATGCTAGGACGTATGCAAAATTTTTGACTATCCAGAAGTCCGGAAGAGAACCGATAACACACTTTTGTTATCACAAAAAGGGTGTAAATGAGAGCTGTTGCAGACGGTTTTACTTTTATTTATAGTGTCATCCAGACCGGATTTTGGTCACAGCGGCCAACCTCAATGGAGACTAGCCATCTGCGCAGGATAGGATTATAGTGCCCAAGGGTATGCCCAAGCACAGGTGCACTCTCTATTCCCTCACTATCATAGTCGTGACGGTAAACCGACACAACCGGAGAGAGATCAGGCGCAGGACCAACGGATTTACGTGCTTTTAGAGGCACGGGGATGAGACACTGCCAACTTCCTGACTTCGGGCAGCTACTGTGAATTTCTGTATAACTGATTCTAATAACTGATTTTTTGGCCCGACCCGGGATTCGAACCCGGGACCTCATGATCAGCAGTCGCACTATTACAACCACTAAACCAACGAGACAGTAATTTTTATTTATATCTATTTATTATCCATTCTTGTTATCTGTGTTAAAAGAGTGAATTGTACCTAACATTGTATTAAATATTATATTTTATTTTTACATTTAATGAGAGCTAATAATTTTCTGCTTACCAGATGTCGCTAGTTCACACTGAGGTAATGTTTTTTGTTACACAGTGTGATTTAATTGAGAAGTTAATTTTTAATAAAAGCTTATCAGTTTCTAGAGTATTAAATTAATACATAAAACAATGCGTCAGTTGTTTGCTCTTTAATTTTTTTGCACATTTATACTTTTTTTTAATTTTTCTTTTTTTAGAAATATCTGTGGTTTGGTTTATTTATTTTTAATCTTATTAATATAAAATATAGCTAATAGTGCAGAGAGAAACAATAACCTTTACATTTTCCGACAAATTAACTTTTCCGTTATGAAATCTTCAAATATTACACCTCACTTTCTAGTGGCGCCGCCCTGGTGGCAGAGAAAGTCGTGGAAGTCATTAACAAAGCCGTTCATTCCATTTGTTTATAAATTAACGCTTGTGTTTTTAACGTTTAAAAAAGTGGAAATGAAGTTTCTATCAGTCTGTAGACAGTTTACTACTTGACATGGATTGCTCCTCAGCTAAAAAGTATTAAAGGCGACATTTCAGTAATTTTTAACTATTTATAACAATTAACTTAAACGTAATTATTATGCAAAAACAAAATCATATTCTAAAAATCTATATGGGCAAGAATTGAGTGAAGACAGAAACGTGAATTATTATAGTTAGCTATAAATAATAATTACATACATAACAAAACATCATATAGGTTTAACACTAAGTCAAATGAAAAGCCTTATTATTTTTAGGTTGTTCAGAACAGATTTAACAATTTGGTTTATTTATTTTATCGTATTAAAAAAATTAAACAAAGTCAAATAGTTCAAGTGCTCGCGGCCGTTTCGGATAGTGTCTATGGTGGGCATCATCAAGATCAAGACATCTTTGAATTTGGAAGTACGTTTTTTTCTCTAAAATTTTCCCCTTGATTGACAATTGCGTGGAACGTGGAGTAAGAAAACGTTTTTAAACGTTGTAGAGCCACGATGAAGCTATTTTATGGTTGTAGCACAAATGAGTCGGCTCGACCGGAGAATGACCACGGTCTCACACAATACAGGCGTAAAATAGCAGCATAAAGCTGCTGTGTTCGAATAATGAGAGTAGAGGACCGGATACCCTTTTACTGGATACAAGGATTCCCATGTTAGTCCTCACAATAGGGTGACAACGCATCTGTATTTGATTCTTAATTGAGGATAGATGATGATAGATAGATGTCTATGGGCCACAGCATCCACTTACCACCAGGTCGACTGTGGGCTCGTTTGTCACACCTATGAAAAAACTACTTTAAATCGCAACATTTCTTCGGCTTGGTAACCAAATGGATTGGCAGTACAATATGTCTTGCACCTTAACGGTTACATCCTATCGCAGATATGAATATGGCGATGTTGTCCTGTCAAATTTCCAATCACGATAACAACTTCCAAATTATCAGCAGTTATATGAAATATGCGTAAGATATACTTAGGTTTAACTATTATTCATACATATACCTGGTAAGAGATGCAGGATTTTGATGAATACGGGTAGATCAGGACCGTGTTATGTGGCATTCGTTGTAGGAGGCCGATGTTCAGCAGTGAACTAATGAAGGCTTTTAATGATGATTATGATGGTGATGGCGATGATTATGATATAAGACAATATAGTGATACGAGTATAAGATGTAACAAAGACATTCCGATTTACTCTATGTAATTATGCAGCAATAGGATAAAAAGAAGGTAATGGTTTAATGCCATACGGAGAGATTTAAAAAAAATCAATCATTTGT